TACGTTTGAGTAGAATACGTTAAGTATTTTCATGCATTTTTCGTGAAATTTTTCTAATTTATGAGAAAAAAAGGCAGTTACATGGATAATAGTGAAGAGTGTGCGCAATGCCATTTTTGTGCAATTCTGGGATGTTTTATTTAAGTAAAAATAAGTCGACGTGGTACATGGTTTAGTGATATTTTAATTAAATGATAGTTATTTTGTGAATTTTATGTTTGTAGGAATTTGGTATACGTTTCAGTTGAAGTAAACATGTATGGAATAATTAAATATTTGACACTAAGTATTTGTAACCATTTGTAATGTTTACGGTATGAATTCGTTGGTGACATTTAATATAATAGATAATTTAGAGGTAAAAGTTTTTGGATATTTTATTTATTTTATACGTAGAAATGTTCATCCTTGGAAAGGGTATATACTTTTTCATGATCAGGTAATTTCATATATGTGCTTTTTACCGAGTTTAAAGATTCACAGAATTTTTTTGCATTTTCGTCCAAATTTTTGTAATTTATGAGAAAATAGCAGTGTAGATGGATAAAGTTAAGAGTGTGTGCAATGCCAGTTTTGTACAATTCTGGGACGTATTTTTAAGTAAAAATAAGTCGACGTGTAAATGGTTTATGTGTATGTGCTATTCTGAAAAACACGCAAGGAGTTTGGGATTGTGCACTTTTTCCCAATTTTGCAGTTAATATTTGTCATGATTAAGCAGTTTTGTGTTGATCTATACATTATGGTAAATTGGCGTTTTTTTGACGAAAATTTGGCGACCAACTCTGTTACAGCATCCCTCTATTTTTTTTCCCCGCTGCCATTTTGTCTTCACGAAGTAAAGACATGTTTCTTTTATTTTTATCTACTGAACACTTCTTCCAACAATCTACTAGCCGAATTAACTTATGCTAGAAATTTTATCTAACAAAACTGCTTAATCATGACAAACATTCACTGCAAAATTGGGAAAAAGTGCACAATACCATACTCTTTACGGGTTTTTCAAAATAACACATACACATAAACCATGTACACGCCGACTTATTTTTACTTAAAAAACATCCCAGAATTACACAAAAATGGCATTGCGTACACTCTTCACTATATCCATGTACACTGGCTTTTTTCTCATAAATTAGAAAAATTCACGAAAATACATGACAATTTTCTGAATCTTTAAACCTGGTAAAAAGAACATATATGAAATTACCTGATCGCGAAAAAGTTTATACCCTTTCCAAATATGAACATTTCCACATATAAAATAAATAAAATATCCAAAAACTTTTACCTCTAAATCATCTATTATATTATACACGTCACCAATGAATTCATACCGCAAGCATTACAAATATTTAAATTATTTCCATGCATGTTTACTTCAACTTAAACATATACCAAATTCCTACAAACATAAAATTCACAAAATAACTATCATTTAATTAAAATATCACTAAACCATGTACACATCGACTTATTTTTACTTAAAAAAACATCCCAGAATTGCACAAAAATGGCATTGCGCACACTCTTCACTATATCCATCTACACTGCTTTTTTTCTCATAAATTAGAAAAATTTCACGAAAATGCATAACAATTTTCTGAATCTTTAAACCCGGGTAAAAAGAACATATATGAAATTACCTGATCGCGAAAAAGTATATACCCTTTCCAAATATGAAATTTTCCCGTATAAAATAAAAAAATATCCAAAAACTTTTACCTCTACATTATCTATTATATTACAAACGTCACTAACTAATTCATACCGCAAACATTACAAACTGGTTTACAAATACTTAGTGTCAAATTTTTAAATTATTCTATGCCGTTTACGCAAATTACTTTACTTCCACCTTACATTTAGAACAATGCATACAAATAATATCCTCAAATAATTAAAAATACTAACTTACCTATTCTTCTTCAGAATCTTGATTACGTGTCCGATAAACTTTTCTTATTTCTGTTTCAGGATCTTTTAAAATCATACTTATAGTTCACACCAAGGTACCAGGTAAAATAAATAACTTAATAAAACATCTTTACTTCTATCTCGCACAACCTTAAAGAAACACTTATTACTACCCCTTTCAATCCCACTAAATACCCATTTCGAATTCACTTTAGTTAGGGCCATGGGATCCAAAAATTAACGAACAGTGTTTCACACACACACCAGAATAAAGCTAAATACAAAATTTCCAGATTTTTCCCGATTTCCCCCCTTTTTCCGATTAAAGAACCGTAATTCGTCCATTAATATCACATGACATATCCCATGATCTCTCATTTTCCTCACACAAAATAATGCGTAATCGGAACTGAGTACTGCTCACATTATTACCAAAGTCCCAGGTAGTAACCTTTATCGCCTCCAAAATGTCGCCAAACTACCAGTTACCATATTCTAAAGATCAGCCCAGTTTTGTTACATAAAATTTCTAGCATAAGTGTAATTCGGCTAGTAGATTGTTGGAAAAAGTGTTCAGTAAATAAAAAGAAAAGAAACATGTCTTTACTTCGTGAAGACAAAATGGCGACGAAAAAAAAATAGAGGGTTGCTGTAGCAGAGTTGGTCGCCAAATTTTAGCCAAAAAATCGTCAAGTTACCATAATCCAAAGATCAACCAATACCTCTTGTTCATGACATTTTTGGAAACTCTGATATTTTAGTCCCAGACCCATAATGATCGAAATATAACTGTAATGAACAGAAAGCATATGCTGACAATTCACAAAATGAATTAGAAGCACAGAATAGAATTCTGTTTAAAAAGTGGATAACATAATGAAATTTGGAAAACAAAGCTCACAATCAAAGAAAAGTACAACAAGCTATTTGAATTACTTAACAAATGATATTTATAATGATTAATAATTATTTTACGCATAATAATATCCTTAGGATACACATTATAATAATAACCTTAGAAGAAATTTAGTACGTGGGCAATCCCAAAAAAAAGGTCTCCTATTTTTTGGGGACGTACAGAAAGTTTTAATACGGTTGTTGGCAACACTGTTGTGAGTAGTGCCTTCTCTGCTACCACATAAGCACGCAGGCGCTTCGCTAGGATGCTCAGTCTTGGCTTGGCAGCCATTCGAAATGTAGCTCCCGATAAACGTTGCCACCAAGTGCGAAGTGCGCGCAGTTATTCGATTTTTGAACGCAAAAGGCGTTAAACCGGTTGAAATTCACCGCCTATTGACGGAAGTGTATGGACAGTCATGCATGGATGTTAAAAATGTTCACAAGTGGTGTAGAGAGTTTACAGCCAGTCATACTGAAATTCATGACGAAGAAAGGTGCGGGAGGCCGTCAATTGCCGACGAGACAATCGCGAAAGTTGAGGAACTCATGCGTAAAGATCGGAGGATGGCTCTGGATGCTCTCTGCATTTCCTGAGGTTTCCAGTAGCACCATCCACAGGATTTTAACGGAAAAGTTGCAATATCGGAAGGTGTGTGAAAGATGGGTGCCGCGTATGCTGACAGAAGACCAGGAAACGGCAACGGTTGATTCTTCCCGCGAATTTTCTCGCCGCTATGGAACAAAAAGACAACTTCTTGGACGCGATTGACGCTTCCTGAAGAGCATGGGCGCAAGCTGGTATGACATGGGCATTGTAAAACTGCCACAGCGTCTACAAAATGCCATCGACCGAATGGCGATTATGTTGAAAAATAAAGCATTCTTCAATCTTTAAATGATGTAGCAATTATAGAAAATAAACGGTTCTTTGTATATCTAAAAATGTAGGAGACCTTTTTTTTGGAATTGCCCTCGTAGAATTCCAAATAACTGTATATAGAACATCTGAATCTTAAATTATCCATATCAATTCTTTTTAGGCCAAGCAAAATCAATCTTGCTGCTAATTTATTTATGTACAATTAATTTATATTACATAATTCCTTCTTTACACACCGATTAATTTAATTCACCCAAATATGTATAATAAATACAATAATGAGAACTCGAAGTTATGCAGAGCATTGATTTACCGTTTACTTCATTCTGCTTTAAGAATCTTGGAATGAAATTTTCCAAAACAACTCTGAATAGTGCTTGAAAGAAAATCTTTTGGGAAGAAGGATTAGCACATATTCATGTTAATACTTGGGAAAAAGAATGGAATGCCCATGCAGCTAGCAGAATTGAAACCAAGGTTTAAAAATGCAATCAGAAATTCCGTAATTAAATCTGCATGGTGTTATAAACCTTTTTAAATTATTTATTTTTTTCACTGAACATTTTTATTATAATAGAGGTACATTAAAAGTCAGTCCTCTTCAATACATTATGATACCTATTCAGTGGTACAAAAGCAGTTGCATGAACATAATATCCCCCATCAAGGCATAAATAAGATTAAGCACTCAATTATAGAGCCTATTTAAATAAATTTCACAGTTTTATTTTAAATAAAATAGAAATATATTTTTTAATGTTTTGGCTTTTGTTTCATAGAAATAAAGACATACATTTTTAATTAATAGTTTTTTTTTTTTTTTTTTTTTTTTTTTTTTTTTTTTTTGTAATAAATATGGTAACCCACGTTATCCCACCTGCATTGCAATTAGTATGTATTTTGGTCTATGCTATAAGAGGGGAGGAAATTATCTGGATTTAAAACAGAATGTTTTTTCAGCTGGATATCTAAAGTTCTGCCTTAAATTATATTTAACGAATTTACATTGTTAGTAATTTCATTAATTAAGTTCTCACAAAAGACACAGTGTATAAATATCATAAAATAAATACATGAATCACTTTGTGGCTACAAAATAAATTCAGTTATGAGAAAACATACAATTGAAATCAAATTACTTTAATTTAAATCTCATCAAACTCCACTGATTCCCTATTTTTTTACTTTGCATGATCAGAAATTTATTGATAAATGAACCTGTTTGAGAACAATGTTTTTCCCTGTATTATTGTACTCTAATTAATATACACTTTAGTAAAATATTAAATGTTGCACATACTCATGGTTTTTCATTTCTATATAATTACTGGGTATAAAGCCTTCTTTAGTTTCAAGTTCAGCCCTATACCAATCAGAATCTTCCATATTTAATATCTGTAAATCAAAAATAATCAATTTCAATGAAAATAAATATAGTAAGGAAAAGGCTCATATGCGCAGCATGAAGGCATTAAAAAATACCAAATTTACACACAGATAACAGACAAATATAATATTTACAACCTTTAACATAAACACTTACCTTTAAAATTTGACCTTTTCTAAAACTTAGTTCATCCTCAGCAGTGGCACTGAAATCATGCTTTGCAATGGCCTCCATACTGGCTCTATGCAATATAAATTAAATACACCATTAAATAATACCAAAATTAACATTAAACACAACAAGAGGGAATACTTGACAATATCACAAAAAAGTTTTGTATAAAATAAACATTTTAAATAACCTTTCTTGATATATTTTACCTTTATTGATTGTAAAACTTATACTACTGTAAAATTTCGCTACTTTTTAAGCATAAAATTCATGATTAGTGATGTGCAGAATTGCGTAAACAGAAGAAATGCATTACCAACCAAGGGACAATAGTGAGTCATTTAATTTACAGCTGGCTACACTTATAACTGTAGTTTAATAAACTCGACGTATCACAACAAAAAGTTAAGTGCACTTTAATTATTGACAGTTCTTTTACAACAATAAAACTAAAAATCATAAGTTTCTATAACAATCTCCAGAAAATATATTATTTATCAATACCTTTAAGGCAAACGCAATGTGATTCATGGGAATGTTTATAATAGTATCAGTTGAAGTGTCATCTCTAACAATATATAAAACAGGTTTTACTTATCTTAAAAATACTTTCTTTGATTTTGTATTTTATACAAATTTGCTTTTACAATAAAAAATTACTTAAACGTTCTGCATGGGTTTAAATGATATAAATCTCAAATTTACGGAAGTTAATATCAGTTGCATTTACACTCGTTCTCTCGTTCATTACAAGGTGTGATTATCGCCAGTGGTCAATTTGCAATCAGTGCTTGGGAAGGAAGGTGTTAGAGGTTTCGCGTATTGAGTGTTAGGATACTAATTACAAGAACATGAAGGAAAAAAAGAATAAACGGCAAAAAATTCACTTAATATTTGACGAGAAAGAAAGAACGTAAGTGGATATATAAGCAATTGTTCTGCAAATTTTTATTGTATTGTTTTATCAACAGTCGATATGGTAATTTATTGTATTTATGATATGATTTTTTTAATATTTATGGTATGATTTATTTCGTATCTTACATATCATATACTTACGTATATAGTATTTAGATTTATGTGAAGATTTCTGATCTCTTGAAGTACATTTATTACCTTTTATATTTTAATTTAAATTATGTTTAATTCTAACTGAAGTTTGTGATTGTTGTACGTAATACAGTTTTTATTTCTTACATATTCCTCCTTCAGTGTCAATGCCTGTTGTCTAAGTTGCACTTTGATAATATAAGTACGTTTAAATTATCATCGGAAGAAATCTATAATGAAATAACTATATTTATATTTGATAAATAGCCTGTGCGTTAAGAAATCAATTAAAATTTAAATAATAAAAATTAAATTTGTATCAATAAACCACCGCTAAGTGATATTTTTTCATGCATTCACTAAACTATCATTTTAATATCTATTTTGATATTTTCAGCTTGCTTTGTTATGACAGAAAGTATTTATAAAGTAACTTCAACTACAAGTAACTAATCTTGCAGAAATTTTAGACTTTTGAATATACAGTAGAACTCCAATTATCCGAATCAGTTGGGACCAGACACCATTCAGATAATCAAAAATTCTGGTAATTGGATTTTCTCTGAAGAGAGGCTGTACATACACTTTAATTAATTACTCCATGTACTATATGTTGAAAATGGGAGGGGGAAAAAATTATTTTTAAAGAAAAAGTGGTTTTAATTAATTAAATGAAAAGACAGCACTTTTATGTGCATGTTATATAGCATACTGTAGAGTACTTACAAGTGACCGAGATTGCTTGCTGAACATCTCCGCCAAAATAAGCTGTTTGATTGTCTTCACCCATTTTCAGGCAGCCAAGTCATGCATCCACTTGACAATGAGAAGTTACATGTGCCCACACTCTTAATTTTTTTAGTCTTAATTTTTTCTTAAATTCTGAAAGCAATTTGGATAATTTGAGCTGTACTGTATTTTGTTCTAGAACAAAAAATTTATAGTGATAACTTCATTCCAAAAAAGTAATGCTATTTTCTTTCTCTGCATTTCAGCAGACATTCCTAATCGCATTTCTTTTTAATTAAAAAACTTCATTAAACTATAAAAACAACAAAAACATTTCAAATCTCTTTCACAACTTTTTATATTTGATATTTTTTTTATATTTGATAAGTTGCTAAAGTACAGAATAGTGAACACAGTCAGACTTGTGCCAAATTTCTCACTTAAAGTAGCACAAACTTCCACTAACCTAACCGAGACAGAAAAGGAAATATAAACATTCAGTATCATTTTTCTGGATCAGTAGAGATTTGCAAGACATAGATTCATTCACAGTGGATAATTAAGCAATAAATATTATTTATAAATTGCAGACATATTCTTTGGATTGCTGTTGTTCTGTAGAATGTAGTAGTAAATCTTTTACATAAGAAATAAACTTGTATTTACATTCAAAATTCAGTCTATTTACCTTTTATTTCCAATCGTAAAATATAAAAACTTTTACATGATTTAGTTTAATTTGGGGATTAGACTAAATTATGTAAACTTTTTTAAAATAATAAATTTTTAATACTTTACAACAAAATGTAAATATGTGTTTATTTTTAAGTGACTGGGAATTAATCTAATTTTGGAAAAACCTTTATTTGCTGAAATATTATTCAAATTGCATCAGGGAGGTGCAAAAGTAGATATGCAGTTATAAGAGATCTTGTTTTCTTTTTTTATAGTTATATATTATAAAATGAGGTCTAGGTTATGAAAAAACAATGACTTAGTCATAAGCATGATGGCATAGAAATTACAATTAAGTACGATCTCTGAGGTTCTCTAATTGCCAGCCTCATTTAACCAGAATTTACACAAACCTGCAGTCTAGTTTCTACACTTAAGCACATGTTGACAGAGAAGTTTTTATTGTTATTAATTTCTTGGCACACTTTATGAAATTAGTCATGTTGGAATTAGTCCAAATAATCGGGGTGAGCGCCAAGCTTGGCGATAGTTTTTTATTTGGCACGATTTTAATTTGGTTGTGGTCTCCAGCTGTATGTTTTCTTGTGGCAAACCTAGAGCTTTATTTCGGTAACTGTAAGAGCACAAATTTAGTGTAGCCAGATTTTTTTTTTAAAATTTAATTTTGAAATACTGTGTTTGTTTTTAAAAGTTTTGCTGTTTAATATTATTGTTATATATGTTTAATATTATACAGTCAAAAGTCGTTAATTCAGACTCGTCGGGACTTCTGCGATTCCGGATTATCAATTTTTCCTGATTATAGATCATTAGTTTAAATCTGGTAAGATGGCATGCAGAAATTACAAAATCAAAAATATGAAACCGTAATTTATGAAATAAAGAACAATTATGATATAAAAGGTATCAAAATTTCAAAAGAAAAGCTTAATATTTATTTGTTTACTTTATTAAACATTTCTTTCAATGTAAGTTGTATAAGTTGCTTCGTTTCATACGATAATACTTTCTCTTTAATTCTATTGAACAGAAATGATTTCTTGTTTAGTTACAAAGTTCCGCTGTTCAAGCCCTATAATTGCTGTGTCGAGAATACTGACTAATTTGTCAATCGAAATGTTTTCATTTTCAATAACCTCTCTGTCACTTTCTTCACTATCGAAAGCGAATTATAATGATGACTTTATTTAAATCATATCAAAGACGGAGTACATCAAGATGAAATACTACATTTAGTAAGGAATTATAATCCAAATAAAATAAAAACATCTGCCCTGAAGATAAGGATAGTGTTGGCAGTGGTGATAAAGGCAAAGCATATTTTGCTTCCCTTAAATAAAGCTAAGACTAATCTAAATAAAATTCATGCTTTATTCTATAAATAAAATAAAATAAGCTAACACTGTAGCCTTTACATTTAAAATCATTTGATTGAAAGAAAAACTAGCATAATGCTAACTGATAATCGCACAAGAGAACAAGACATTCGCCGATACCGGCGTACATATATACATATATACTCGGCCAACCCGCCGATCTTGACGTCATCGGCCAATCAGCGGCAACCACATTAGCTTACCATTGATTGATCTCCGATCAAAATTTGCATGTGGAAAACTAAAGCCAACAGACAGATCAACTTCCAATTCATTGCGTGCCACGGCGTTTTTTGGGAAAATTAAAACTGGATGTACATTGAGCTAAAAGTACATATGAGGGTTTGATAGTACAAGTGGAAGGGTGCAAATTGAAAAAGGGTGGAAGGGTGCAAAAAAAAAAAATTGCTAATCCATTTATTACATCATTTTGGTAGTTTCTGATTGCATATATTCTCATAGTTATATCCGAAAAATTCAACACAAAATGCAATTGGGGGGTTATTACATATTTTCCTGGTTATGTGCTGGATTAATTAAAAAATAATTATTCAAATTGCATGTATGCTTATTTCATTTATATGGACTTCAGAAACTATAATTGGATGTTGATTTTTAGCCAACAATTATCCAAAATTATGCAATTTTAATAGTGATTACATTTTCTCTTTAAGTTAGTTTTATTTTATGTCTTGAAATGTGATTAGTGAATGAATTTCTCCATGTACCATAAAAAAACAAGTTGTTTAACTAAATCTTTCTTCTGTACTTTGTTTCAACTCCCACGTGGTAAATGAAGCCAAGATTGATAAATCAACAGTCCAAACCAACTTCAAGTGGCCTGTAGTTCTAACGACAATCATTTATGTTCTGTTCATGATGAGAAGAGCTCTGAATAAACCATGTGTTATTGTATTTTCGGTACTATTCGGTTTTGAGAGCCGTAAAAAATCTATTGTTGATGCCAGTGTTGCCAAAAATAATTGCGGCAACCCTAATGCAAGAAAGGAAGTATAATAGTAAATAATTGATAATAGTAAATAATCTAAGATTGATGTTTTAATTTTAATGAAAGGTTAATTTCATATAATACTTTTTTATTATTATAATTTATATAAAAAAGGCTAAACATGACTGAACGGAAGCATAAGAGTAAATAACTATTTCAGATCATTATTATAATTATATAAAAAGTGCTAAACACAACTGAATGGATGCCTGCATCGCTATTTCGCTACCGAGTTATCGCTAAAGCATAATTTCATCTCATTGGTTGTTGAAACATAATTTTCTATAATGAATGATGCTTTTTCTTTGAAAAAAATTCTCGTTAAAGTGCAGAATCGCCCACTTATTTGTTTGCCACTTTTTACAAGGGTTAAAAACAATTGTATTTTTGTGAATTTTCTTTTACTTTTTAAATGAAAATAGGTCGATGTGTACATAGATAAAGTCAAGGGTGTGCGCTGTGCCATTTTTGTGCAATTCTGGAATTTTTTTTTGAGTGAAAGTAGGTCGCTGTTGTACATGGGTACCGAGTATGTGCAATTCTTAAAAACACGTCAAACAGTGGGTCATTCTGCACTTTACCCAAAATCGTATTGCAGACTTTTCGTCGTGGGCAATTCCCAAATTGTTAAATCCATTGGATATCAAAAAAGGATTTAAAAATAAAACTGGTATTTTACTGACATCTTAAGAAATATAGAACTATATAAACTTACGCAATCTGAAATCAGCACGTACGCTAGATTTGGCGTTCTGTTAACCCGCGGGAAGGCCCGTGGGGTGTATCGTACCCCACCCTTACATAAAAGTGGAATATTCCTAACTTGACAAACTGAAATTCTGTGCTGCATTCAGTAGCTGAGTTTCTAATTGTGGTTGACTTTCAGAACCGCTTTTTCTTTCTCTGTGTGTTTCAGAAAAAGATTTATCGGTATTTTGTTGGAACTGGGGTATGACACACCCCACGTGCCTGTCCACGTAAGTGTTTTTCTGACCGAATATTTAGTTCAGAAATTTAATTCTAGAGTGTAACATTAAATATTTCTTCTCGCAA